GTTTTTTGGGGAAGCTGCGTTAATATTCATCAAGTAATTTTTGAGATACATGACTGTTCTCTTTCCATTTGAACTACATAGAGTAAGTCAAATGACCATTTGTCATCCTTATCTTGCAAAGCTGAGTCAGTCATATTGAGTGCAATAAATGTGAGTCTTTGCAACTCTTAGGAGCTACATTAGAAGTCTATAGACCAAAAAGTCGTATTTTGAATTAAGGGATGGAGCTGCATGCTCCTTATTTCTTAGCTGAAGTTTCTGAAGTATTTTTCTTGGTAAATGATGCTTTTTGTACAATTGAGGAGCCCCTTGAGGGACAGCTCACAGTTGTAAATTCTGCTTATAAATTGTAATTAACCTTTATTTCAATAGATGTTGATTTCTACTAGGTCAACATATACTCAGGGAACAGCAAGAGGCCTCTATACATTATGCTGCCTGACACAGTACTTTTGATTAAGCGTGTGATTTCAATTACTGTTGATCTAGCTTTATCAGAAAGCTCCTCTAATCTGCAGATGCCAGCGAAGCAGCATTGGAATTTTTATACCACACAATATTACCTGCAGAAAATCACCACCACAAAAAAGCAGGGAGGCAGCAATGTGTACACCAACAGCCAGATTTAAGACAGGAATGTACCTACATGTCTCATAGGCATGTAAATCCTTCTCAGAGTCTGAGCCAAACTCCGTAAGTCTTTTTAAAAGCCATTGGCTCCTTAAGGCCAGATTTTTAGCAGTATTTGTAAGAAAGTGTTGGGGGACTGTGACCTTTGGTCTACTCAGCATTAAGCACTTTGAGATACAGATATCTCACTAGTCAGATTTTCAGAGGATTTTCATATTAGGTACTTAGGCTTTTTTCAAAATTCTGCTGCTGTCTGTATCTGCATCTTTAAGCCCTTAAATACTTTCATAAATCCAGACCTAACATCTTTAGGCTGCACCTAAATGTTAGACTTCAGCATAGTCAGAGCTTCTGAAGGTCAGACTTTGATTATTGTTGTTGTGCTTAGCTCCCTGAGGTTTGTTACTTGAGGTTTGTTACTAAGTTTGGCTTGAATAAACCTTGCCTGCTTTGAGATGGTGCTGATTACTAACATGGTAGAAATGTTAAGACAGTTAATAGAGCAGTTCTGGTTTCTCCTCTTTAGGGGGGTGCTACGCAGCATTGTTCAAAGGCCAGACAATCATGGTTCTCCTCAGCACTGAGCAGGAAGGCTTGGCCTTGATACCTGCCCTGAGCAAAGCATTTGGAGCAGCGGGGTTTGGAGGGGAAGAAGCCCCTGGGTGTGTGCTCTAAGTGTGTTTGTGATGGGGAATAGATTAACACATCTTTGATTGTCCTGTGTTGCCAAGCTCATGGACTGGTGTAAGCACCTCCTTCCTGGATGATATGCACTGTGGCAGAAATCACGTAGAGGCATCTAACCTTGACTGGCCAGGCAGTTTAGCTGCTGGTAATTGCCCTTCTACTCTTCTTGGAGCACAGGGCAGCTTCTAGCTCCACAGCAGCGTGGCCAAGTTAAACAAAAGCTGTGACAATCCTACTGCTGCAAAAATGGCTTGTGGATGTTTTTAATCTCTTTTTGCCTTTTATCTTATTTGATGCTCTGAAACAAGGCCAGATTGGACAGAGCCTTGGGAGGCATCATCTGGGGTGAGGTGTCCCTGCCCATGGCAGGGGGGTTGGAACTAGATGACTTTAAGGTCCTTTCTAACCCAAACCATTCTGTGATTCTATGAGTTCTGTCTTCACAAAGGAGTATGCAAGGGCATGCTGCTGTGGGGAGAGAGGACAAGGATGAGGGTGCAACTATGGCTGTCAGTCATTTGTGCTGCTTGGCTTCACTCTTATCTTCAATTTGTGTAGCTACAGCATGGGATTATAGGCCTGCATCAGTACCCCAGGTTGCTGATGGCAAGGAAGTGCAGTGTGCTCAAATCCCTCATTCAGTAACGGGAGAGGAGGGAAATGGTCCCATGTGTTCAGGAGTCATTAGTCTCTGTCCACTTTCCATTTTGCAAGCACCAACTACAAGACTAGGAGGCATTCAGGTGTTATGGTGATAAAAAAGGGCATAAGATTTGGGGGCGTGTTAAATTTGTGGAGAAAATATATGTGACTTCTTTCTGATAGTGTGAGTGTGGTGATAAGCCCCAAGAGATCATACCGTTCTCTGATAGCAGCATCCAAGATTCTCCTTCTGCTCTGAGGGCATTTCATTTCAGAGATGTAAAGACAGTAATAAAAGCTTCTTTCCCATCCTTCTCCCAGAGCAATTCCTCAGCTCGTAGCTGCCTGTCCAAAGCTACGTCAGTAATACTCCAGTATTCAGCCCAATAAAACTTTTGTCAGGGAAGCATAAAGTTTCTGTCAGATCTTTTCCATTAAAAATCATTTTTATAGCAGTGAGCTGCAGCAAGCACACAGCTATGGAGTGATAGTGTGAAATGATGAGAAATTTGGTCAGTGTTATCATCCAATGGGGACTCAGTGGCAGGGCACTTAGAATGCCTCCAATGTATGGAGCATGACTACTGGAGTATTTTTCACAACAGATTGTAATGTAAGTAATTTATTACAGATCTCAGAGGAGAATAGCCCACACCACTGATTCTAGTCCTGCCTCCCAGATATATTACCTAGAAAATATCAAGTCATAACTCCCTGTAAATTAATTATGTGCCTGTCCCACCTTAGATTAAAAGATATTTCTGCTGGACACTTGCAGGGTTAATATCTGTAGCTTGTGTTTGATTTGCTGAAATGTAATTGCTATAGTCAATGAGAAGTGTATAGGATTTGCTTTGTCTGGTAACCATACAGCCCTAGCTGGTTGTGAACTAATCAGAAACAGGACATGTAACCATGACCAGAACATGTAGTTTAATCAAAGAAAGCTACTGCTGTAGCCCAGGTGGAGTAAATTTATTCAGTGAAAGAATTTGCATTGTGGTCACTGACTAAAATGAATCTGATTCATAGGATACCTCTGTTTAATCTTTCATGATGGATCATGATACTAAGAATATCATGAGATGAACAAAACTTGACTTCATGAGATTAATTCCTTGTTTTCTATCCAGAAGTCAGGAAAGTTGGTAATTTGCAGTATCTCTGTAACAGACAGCAATGCCTATGTAATAGACAGTATATGTCAACTGGAGTTCTGTGGTTGATAATGCATTCCTGAAACAACATACTATTCAGAAAGTGACTTAAGAATATAAGTAGTCTGAGATAGTGGTTTCCATTGTGAATACAGAGGATTACCACAAATGATGTGTGACTTTAAGAATAAGTAGTGTATTTTCATTTGCGTCAAAGTTTAAGTTGTTGTAGACTAGCAAAAAATAATGGAAAAGTGACAGATTTGCATAGTTATAAAATAAAAAGTTTATGGGCAGTTCAGCATGAATAATGGAAATTTGATCATGTGCTTCAAGGTTAAACAAATTATTTGGGCTAAGAAGGAGAGTTTTTAATAAAGATAAATTTATCCACACCTGTCTACAGTAGTATTTCCTCTGAGCACCTTCTGACTAATCATTACCAGTCACAAGGTGATGGGCTTGAGATTACACTGGTTTTACCGAATCTGTTGTTTCTTCTGTGAGCTACTTTCAAACAGCTTTGTTCCTCATTTCTTATTCATAAATAAAGGCAGACCAACACCCCATTTACCGACATGCTGTCCTAGTGTCCTTCTTCTTGCAAGAAAATAGCTGCAAAAGCTCATCCATTCAATTTTCATTGAGGCTTCATGGGTGTACTGACTTGGTAGCTTGAGTTGTTCCAAGGAACAATGAGTACCCTTGTGTGCAGCAGTGGTGGGGTAGTACAAGTGCTGCAGAGTTGAGCAGTGGTTACAAGGCTTCTTATTACCTCTCCTGTGAAAAAAAAGTAATTCCATGAATATGTGTGTTAGGGTTTTGTTGTTCTTTGTTTTGTTGGTTTGGGGTTTTTTTTTGCATTTACTTCTGTGATAATTTATAATCTGTACTGACATTTTCTTAGGAAAACTGAAAGACAATTATAAATCGAAGATCTGTCACAGTGTGAAAGTTCACAGTAAGGAATGTCACTAAAGTCCAAACCATCACTACATGTGCCTTCTAGGTGATTCAGTGGCTGGTAGCTACCTAGAATTTTTTCACATCCTGTAGTTTCATTTTTCTGTGTCATCTGAACCTATCCCTTTCTGTGATACAACAGTCTACCATTTGTTGTCACATTCGGGGTTATAGGACCTAAGAGCCCCAGTGCCAGTGAGGTACTGATGAGACAGAGCAATGCCTGAGTAAGGTGTGTTTCTGTGACTGGCACCTTTTGTCAGCTCACTTGCTCAAATCGTGACCTAGGCGGTGGTAGATTTTATTGTTCAGGTTGGAAAGGACCTTAAAATCATCTAGTTCCAACCCTGTGATATGGGCAGGGACACCTCACCCTAACTATGTCACCTGGCCTTGAACACTGCCAGGAATGAAGCAGAAGAAAATAACCATCCTAAGTAGCTTGCAATGAGAGTGAAATTAAAGGAAGAAATGACAAAGCAAGATGCAGGCAACTGGACAGCACCATAAGCTGAACAGAGTTACAGGCTGGAAGAGGTTATCTGGTCAGAGGAATTAGCTTGTGTTACAGAATGCTTAGGAGAAAGTGGCTGACGTAAGTCTCTTTGGCATGATTTGTTATAAACGTATTGTATCTTGGTAAGATCTGATACAGCTAGATATATTGTGTCAGTCTGTGCATCACCAAGTGTACTTAAAAAAAAAAATACAGGATATATGAATATTATCCAGGGTAGGAGATATTTAACAGTGAAATAAGCCAATAAGTTATGTAAATAAAGAAAATACTGTTTTGGTTTGTTTTTTGTTTGTTTTTTTTTTTTTGTTAGTTGAATTGTTACTGTTCTGCTAGTCAACTAAAGAAGATGTTAACCAGCTGAAGAGGTACGTTTTACCTGAGGAAAGGAAACCTTGTTCATTGTGTTGTATGAAAGGAGAGAAGGTTAGCACTCCCCTTGAAGGAAAAGGCCCTCATAGCCCGTACAACATGCATACGGTTTAGGCATTGCCACCTACTTAGTGGCATCTAACCATGTTTTGGGGGTTGGAACTAGATGATCTTAAGGCCTTTTCCAACCCTAACTGTTCTATGATTCTATGGTTTTTATTAGAAAGAATGGACAGACTAGGAAGGGATAAAATGAATAAGACTGCATCCCTAAAGCTATTTTGATCCCTTAGTGATGGAGAGAGAACTGAGTAGGAGAGCTACAGTGCTTCCAGCAAGAGGGGTGTATTTAAGAGAGCTCCTTCCAAATATTACCCAAAGCATAATGTAGTCATATGCGAGGACATGTGTCGGGCAGGCTAGCTGTGGGGGCTGTTGTTAAGGGAGTGGCCTGAGTTCAGCAGTAGCAGTCATTTTTCTCCTTCTTAGTAGCTGGTGCAGTGCTGTGGTTTTGACTTTTGGCCTGGGAACAGCACTGTTAACACCAGTGTTTTTAGTTGGTGCTTAGTAATATTTAGTCTGACCAAGGACTTTCTGAGCCTCATGCTCTGCCAGGGAGGGGAGGGGAAGCCAGGAGGAAGCAGAGACAGGACACCTGACCCAAACTAGCCAAAGAGGTATTCCATACCACAGCAAATCATGCCCAGGATGTAAAACTGGGGGCAGTTACCTGGAAGGGCTAGATCACTGCTCAGTTGGGCTGGGTACCAGTCAGCAAGTGGTGAGCGGTTGTATTCTCTTCCCTTGTTATTTCCCTTATCATTATTATTATTGGTGGTAGCAGTAGTGGTTTTGTATTATACCTTAGTTACTGGGCTGTTCTTATCTCAACCCGTGGAGAATCTTTAGGTTCTCCTCCCCATCCCTTCAGGAGTGGGGGGAAGAAAAGGGGGGGAGTGAGCGAGCTGCTGCATGGTTCTGGGTTGCTGGCTGGGCTTAAACCATGACAGGGAGATAGAAACTATTTTGATTTAATCAAAGTAGAAGCAGGTTGAGTACAGTCATTCTTTTATCACTGATGTCCTTTACAATTGTCTGAGTTTAGTGCAACTCTGGGCATTTCTCTTGTCTTTGCCAGAACTATAAAAGGGTCCAACCAAAAGCATACACCACCTCCCCATTTCCACTTGCAAAGACCACGTGGAATTGGGTCAGGGAGTGAGAGGAGGTAGAAATATTTCTCTAATGGTGTCAAGATATTGTGGAGCTTGCTTAAAACTGCTTGGCAAAGACATCAGACGAGAGTTCAAGTTATGTTGTAGGACATAAGCATCCATCTGCACCTTTCTTCAATCAGATCAGTCCACTTTCTTCTGAAAGTGGGGCTGGAACACCAAACTAGATAAAAATTGGTTTTCATGCATTCTTCCAAAGGAAGTTTTGAACAAAAGAGTTTATTTTTACTGTAAATTCTGCTGTTTCATTTTGCATCCTGATCTATTGATGATTACATCACTTGAACTTCTCAATTTATTGATTTGATCTTAATCATGACCTTAATGTGATCATCACATTGTTCTGTCTTTAATTACCTTGGTAAAATTGTAGTATATTAGCTCAGTGATGTGCTAATTTAAGTGCTTCTTTGCTTGCTAATCCTCTTCAAGAAAAATAATTTTAAAAAGTCAACAGAACAGGTTTCATCTGTCGAATTTTGCAGCATGGACGTTGCATTCAGTGGGTACAAATTACTTTCAGCAAAGAAGATTGTGCGTGGTTTCTGAGACCAACTTAATACCAAGTTTCTTGGCCTGACCTAGTATGAGGAAAAGTATCTCTGTACCAGAACCTGTATAGTAGGTCAAGGGAAATAAGCCATTCTTGAAAGAGATGTCAGTAAACAAAACACCTGCAAAACTTCCTACATGGGGTGACTTGTATGGATTTTAGGGCCCTGTCCTTGAGTCAGTGAAAGCAAGGAGCAGACCACTTTAGGCAATAATTCACAAGACTTTAGAAATCAAGACCTAGTTCATTGTGCTCCTACATGCAACTTACAGGTTGTATCCCATTTGTATATTGCTTCCATTATGGGTGGAGTTCTGGAGGAGGATTTGTGGGATATACTGCCTGGACCCCCAGATTACTTCTCCTGTCTGAAGCTGTGTATTGGGTTTGCATGGACCAGTGGCGGGGGGAGGGGCATGGGAAGGACTCAAATTGGAGAAGTTCATGGAGGACTGTCTTAGGTGGAAGGAACCTCACACTGGAACAGGGGAAGAGTATGATGAGTCCTCATACTGAGGAGGACTAGAGCAGCAGAGCAGGAAGGAGGGAAGGAGTGGCAAAAAAAATATGTGATGAACTGACCGCAACCCCTGTTCCCTGTCCCCTTGTGCCACTGCAGAGAAGGAGGTAGAGAATTCAGGAGTATAGTTAAGCCCAGGAAGAAGGGAGATGCGGGGGAAAGATGTTCTTGCGATTTGGTTTTATTTCTCATTATCTTACTCCAATTTGTTTGATTAAAAAACTAAACTAATTTCCCTAAGTTGAGTCTGTTTTGCCCGTGATTGGTGAGTGATTTTTCCCTTGTCCTTATCTCAACCTGTAAGCCTTTTGTCATATTTTCTCTCCCCTGATCAGTTGAGGAGGGAGGAACAGAGCTGCTTTGGTGGGCACTTGGCATCTAGACGGGGTCAACCCATCACTCTCTTTTTCAGCACCCAACGTGGGCCCTGAGGAATTCAAGATAAGAGTAGTGTATGCAAGAGGTAACAGGCAAAACATAGACTGAAGACAGCTACAGAGAAAAGAGTGGAATGACTGTGGGGAGTTTATGTTTTTGTAGTTGTGGTGAAGGGACGAGAGGTGGATTGTACGTAGTTCCTTTGAGAAGCTGCTAGAAGCTTAGTAGCAGCTTATCCAAAAACTGGCAGTGAAAGCGAAAGTTCTAGCTTGAATGCTAGAAGCAGTTTTCTTTGTATTTGTTTGCTCTTTGTATATTCAACAGCAGTGTGGCCAACTGCAACGATTTATAGTGGTGTTCCATTAATATTTGTCTTTTCCTTTAAATTAAGCTTAAGTATTTGAATGCTTATGGGCAGCTGCAGAGTTTTAAAATATATACATATCTTTTCTATATATGTTATATTTTATTTTTTTTTATGAGCTCACATTTATATGTATAAACGTCTGAATTTTTGGATGATCGCTTTTTATGCTTATGCTTGTGGGAAAAAGCATGTACTAAAATAACTTCCAGGCTTTCTTCTAAAATACCTGTGGAGATGATATCACTGACAGTGGAATGTTATGCGTATTTTCTATGCACATTTACCACACTACTTGATTTTCATAACTTATTTTACATTCTTTGATGTTGGTGACTAGCTTGCTTTCAGTGTGGCACTCAAAAGCAGTACTAAAACTAGCATGGAGCAGGGGAAAAGGATGGGGTTTTGTACCAAATAGACTTGTCTCCTTTTTTCTATGTCTTAGACATTTGCCTTTTCAAACAGCATTTTGCTGTTGGCATGCTCAGCTTGTGATATAACCTGTGCTTACCAGAGTGCCTTTTACACATGCACAGAAGGCAGACTGAAGGAGCGGGACAGTCTTTGCCAGTACTTAGAATCTGAAGTTATTTACCCAGAGTGGAATTTGTGTACAGCAGTCACTCTCCAGGCCAGATTTTGAATCCATCAGGCCAGATTTTGAATCCATCAGTCCAACCATAAATCATATACTCACAGGAGTGGAAAATTCAAATAAGCACCTGCTGTCTAATGGAAAAAGTTTTTCATTCTGCTTTAAACAACATTGTTTGTAGCTTTTCACCAAATTGGAGTGAATAATCTCAAGCTCTATTAAAGCTCTAGCAGAATTTTGAGTAACTGCAAGTGGGTTAGATTTTTGTTAAAGTTCTCTGGAATGCTTGTGCATTTCTTATGCTATATTAAGTAGACCATTTAATGGATTTTGATTGGCAATGCAGCCTGAAGCCTCATCACTTGAAAGCTTTATAGCTACAGATAGTATGCGTTTTCAGGCTATGATGGAGAAAAATGAGCTTTCTCTTTGGAGGCTGGTGTTTCCCACTGAGAGATCAATAAATTGCCTTATCATTTCATGACAGACCTGGAATTTCAGCTCTGTGTGCCACAAGTTGTGTTTTGTGGATAATATCTCTTAAAGGAGATTTTAACTGTTGTAACTGATGAGATGCAGCTTTCAGTCTGCTATTGGGCACTTCAGTTTTAGCAAGACGTCAAAGCAGGGCTATTTATTGGGATAAACAAAAAAGCACCATCATGTGGCAAATGTCAACCCCTCTTGCTTCTGGGTGTCTAGTTTATGTTCATTCAATTGGAGGCACTCCTTATGTCCTATTTTTCAAGAGCTTTCTTTCATTCTTCTTTTATTCTTCCCCTCTCTCCTTCTCTCCCCCTGTCCCCCTCCCCCATCCTACATACTTAACATGAAAGACATTTAAAGCATGATAGTTTAACAAAATGGGATCAAAGTGAAGGAGGATCATTTGCTACTTTCTAACCAAAAGGAGAAAGGGGTTGTAAGCAAACAAATGAGATGTCTGCTATTCAGTGCCACAGGAGTGCTGCTTTCAGAGGAAATTCCTCTGTTCTAAGGCATCCAGTGGTGCCCACAGTCAAGGCTGCCTCCTGAGAGGGAAGAAGTGGTTTTAATTAGGATGATGCCAGCAAGAATATAATGATTTTGCAGATATTGTGACTCTATGACTTAAAGTTCCTTTGAAGTTGCTCTTCAATGGTGTGTTGAGTGTCTGAGAAAGCCTTAGTAGAACTGATTGTGTTGAAGACAATGACTGCCTCAAAGATAATTTTTTTTCTTTAACTGAAGAACTCAGCTTTCTGTCACATTTTCAAAGCATCAGTTACATGGTTTGGTCTGAATCTGTGTAACAGAACTGAAAGCATATTGTGATTTGAGCTTTTTGCTCAAATAGGAAGTGCCTTGCCAAGATGCTGTACTACTTGCATATAGAGCCTGAGAGAGGAGAGGTGGAGGTCTTCAGGGTGTACTGGAGTTGGCAGATAACCATGTGTAGTTCAAAACTTACAGCATGCTGCTTGCTTCTAGAAGCAAGACTTTGTTCAGATGTGTTTCATGCCT